GCCAGCCGTCGCCAGCCTGCCCGACGGCTGTCCTCGCGAGGCAGGAGGCAACGCCGCCGGGCAGCAACGCGGGAGCAAAGGAGACGGGACAGACTCCGCAATAAGGCACACGGACACCTTCCCGGTGTCCGCCTCCAGCTAGCGCTGGCTGCATTTTACTGCTCGGATGGGTTTTCTCAGGGTTGGGGATCCCAGGGAAAATAAAAGCCATGCTGGTCCCTGCGCTGGTCCTCGGCCAGGTGAGGACTGTGTGGCTCTGGCAACTGGAAGGGGAAGGGAATAAACAAATGCAAAAAAAAGAAAAGGGAGCTGTTATAGGGCAGAGACGCCAAAACAATAACAAGGCAGGGATTTCAATCAAGCCTTTGAAGAGCAGGCGCTTTGATACAAGGTTAGCATGTGTATTAGGTCTGACCCTAGGGCCAAAGGAAGGCTTTGCACTCAGGCAAGGCAGGATGGACATCCAGGGCTCAGCCCTGTCTCCATCCTGCCCACCTCGGCCATCCCTGCCGCGGGGACAGCCTCTGTCCCCAGGCCCTGCCCCTGCTGCCTGCCTGGCCTGGCCTTTGCCATTTCCCCTGCTGCTTTCAATGGGACCCAGTGCACCCAGCACCCAGAGCTAGATTTGGTGCCCAGATATGTCTTTCAGTTGGGAAAACTTGGCGGAGGACTGGAAGCATGTCCGAATACATCAGCATAGAAACAGAATTAACCCCACCTTTTTGAGCGGGGCAAAAAGCAGCACTCCCCACGTGCCAAGAGGCCATCTCTAACCAAGCAAGGACAGGGAGCCCCAGATGTGCTCGTGCCCTGCCGTTCGCAGCGCGCCGGAGCGGAGCGGGGAGCACGCGCACCATATGAGCAGCTACGGCTCTCCACACTGCCAGTATCAGCAGAGGAACCGGAGCCAAGAAACAATTGCATTACTGTTTCCCTCTGGTATGACAGATCCATATTTACATACACACGTGCTCGCAGCATCTCCCACGATACTAGCACAAAACCTATAGTACATGCTCTTCCTCCCGGGTACCCGGGATGCAAGTCACGCTGCACTGTGCTCTCCACCGGTGTAACTCCAGCAGCCTCCCAGGCTGGCTTGGACGAGACACAAAACCCTTCCGCGGCAAAGGACGCACAGCAGCGTCGGAGAGAAGGCGGCGTCTCTTCCCCACCTCCTCTCTGCCTTGTGCAAGCTATGAATCATTTCCTGATAGGGCTCCATCTTCTCCGAAACCAAAGAATGGGAAATGTCACAGCCAACAGGAAAGG